TTTTAACTAAGTTCATTTATATGATGTGTCGCCCCTAGTTTAATTAAGTAGCATTGTATCATATTCCTTTAAAAATATGGAAATAACATAATACTTGTACTATTTTTTATTATATATTTTAAATTCTCTCATATTTATAGTTTTAAAACCTGGTTTATATTTTATTTTACTTTAATCCATTTTTTTTCATATTATTTTATTGTTAGAAAATAAAAGACATTAAAATTATAAAATAAGTCAAAAGAGGTTATGTTAACTTGCCAAGGCTTTTCATATTTTTTAATAATCATGTAAAAGATTAAATATATTAAACATGGTCAAGATATTGTTAATAAAAGAGGAGAAACATTATTCAACCAATGAACCAAATACAATAACTATAATTATTATGTTGATTATTCATTTAGGCAGTCTACAAGCATATGCTTAACTAAGTAAGTCTATTGGTTTCCTATTCGACGTTTGTCTTTTGACCTACACAAAAATTATAACCCAACCATAACCTCACATTTGAAGGCTCACATTCAATCACCAAATAGCTGCTCCACAAGCTTTGCATTTAGGTTATCTTGTGGTTTTTAAAATTACCAGTGATGGAGTAATTTTATTTATGAGAAACGATAAGCAAGCAATCAAACTAAAGCATTATCTGACAAAAATCCTCAACCACAATGAATGCAAACCTTTCCATTAACTTTAAAGCTTATTGATCTTACCTGATCAATCTAAAGAACAAACGGTTGGTAATGGTGGTAGTGCAGAATTGAGATGCAAGAAATCAATAGTCTTGAACTTCAAAAACTGATAGAAATCAAAATCAGAATCTATTCCGAGAAATCAATAAATGGGAAAAAGTACTCTCCAATGTAGATGAACATGTTCAGATAACGTTGAGCCCCACAGTGCCTTTCCCCAAAATCAAAATCCTAAATCTATGCTCAATAACTCTCTCCAATAACAATGTTGGTGGCCGTTCACGATTATGGTGGAGGTTCGTTGCCGGAAAATTGGTGTAAGGGAAGAGTGATGGTGGAGATGGTGGTCGTGGGAGATATGGGGATGAGTGAAGTCACAACACTCTACGATTAGGGTTTATGGGTATTGGATTTAAAGAAAGGGAAATGTGTACGTTCGGTGTTTTTAAGTTAATTAAATGGAAACTTTATAAATTCTCCTCTCTTTGTATAAAACGTTATAAATTCAATGAATAAACCAATAACCATATAAAATAACATGGTTGTATATAATGTATTAGCTATTGTACCTCTTAAAATTCAATAAACATTATATATATATATATATATATATATATATATATATATATATATATATATATATATATATATATATATATATATACTAGGTGTGAGCCCCATGTATTACATGGGTGTATTTAAAACAATTAAATATGTATAAACATTTGAAAGATTTGAATTTATAAGAAAATGAGAAAAATATTGAATTAATAAAATTAAAGTGTTTTTTTTTTCTCTTTTAAATTTAAACAAATCATTTAGATAAAATAATCAAAACAAATTAATGAGATTTTATTTTAAATATTTGAAGTTATAAGGAAAGTCCATTAATAGAATTGATATCATTTATTATTAAATTTAAATATCATATGAAATTTAATAAAATAGGAAAACCACAAAATTACATATGGAATAAAAATTAATTCAAAATAACCAAAAAATGACATGTGGCAAAATGAATGAGAGTGTGACAAGTGGCAAAAAAAACTTTCGTTTATTAAAGAAGATATATATATATATATATATATATATATATATATATATATATATATATATATATATATATATATATATAAAGATCATTTCATTTAGTTTCAAATACCATTTGTAACATGCAGAGCAAAGGATTGCATTCATGGACAGTTACTATTAATTCAGAACATACATATAAATTATTATAGATATAATTTATGATACAAGAATACTAATGTATGAGTCAAATATACATAAGTACATGTTTTACAATAATCAGGGTTGAGTTCAAAACTACACAAGTATGAACCAGTTTCAATACATTTCAAGTATATTAAACAAGAAAAGTACTATCAATCCTTTATTTCAAAATAATTGGATTTTCATTACTATTATACACGTAACTTCTATGCGCTTTTTATAAGTCAATGTATTCAGGTTGTTTAAATTATTTAAACGATGTAGTTAAAATCCTGATACTATAACCAGAATCTCCAGTCGGGATCAAATCAAGTTGTGTATAACTCTATATGAGATTGAAAACCCCGCACTCGGGCTGCTAGATACAGTCAGACATACACCCTTATGAGTGAAAATTGTTATCAATGGTTTTTAAACGCCTTCAATGCGTTTGTGTGACATCCACCAAAACTCAGGTCAATACTCATCTACAACTTCCTCATTTCCTTGTGTGCACTTAACTTGGCTCTAGATTTACAAGTTGAACTAGGTTCACAACTTAATAGATCCCTCGGAACAATTAGTGTATATTAGCTTGTATTGAACAATCACATTGATATTTGTATGAACCAACTGAGTGGTAAAGTGCCAAATTTGAACCTAAAATTTCCATATTGGAAAAATCTAATGCTTAACAAGGTTAAGTATTCTAAGCTAATATGAACAAAATTATATCATAATATGAACCAACTATAAAGCTGATGAGAAATTCATATAATTCATGATTCGAAATGTGAACCAAAAGAAGAAAAATCCAAGGATATCAAAATCTTACAACCACATATTATGAATCCTTGTTACAATTGTTGAAATATGAGAAATTGATTTTTATAAAAAATTAAATAATAGGTTATCATTTTCTAAATTAATTTAACAAATATAAGTTTACAAGTTATTACCAAGTGTAAATATTTCAACAAAACCCAATAATTAAAACCTTAGGAGATTATGATAGTGTTTGAGTTTTATAAAATATAAAATCTAGATTTATAAAAATTCAAGGGAGGATTTTATTATTTGATCAAATATCAATAAAAATACCATCTCTTTCTCTTAAAATTTCGTCAATTAGGCTTTTCTCTCTCCCCCATGCCTTAAAACCCATCATTACACCGCATTTGAACCACCTACACACTCCATCTCACACTCCTTCTCTAAGAAAAGTTTCCCACTTCCAAGACCACTCCTAAACATTAGAAAATCCTCCATTCTATGTCCTAATTTAGGATTTTTAAAGGTCAAGAAGTGTTCTTGCTTCTCTCAATATCAAAACCAAGGTAAACAACATAATCCTTTATCATAGTTTTATGATTTTACTTCCTCTTCTTCATAGTTCTTCCTTACTTTTCGGATTATATGCCCTTATATGGATAGAAATCCTTGTTTTTCCTCTTGGTGTTTTTAGATTCTCACAATAACACAATACATGTGTTTGAGATGGTGAAAATCCGGGATCAAACTTATGCAAAGTGTGAAAAGATGCACATATGTTCATATGATTTCAAAAATCGAATTTTACATCTTCTTCTTCATTTATTATGTGTTCTTACATGAAAAAAAGTATTTAAACCATTTTAGTACATCTTGGATGCTCATTCACTCCATGCATGTGCTAGAAATCGGATTTGTGTTGCAATCCTAGTATAAGATTTGGTGGTTCCTAGGAGTTCTCTAACACATGAATGAAACACCCAGTTTGGGGCCTTGGAATAACCCTAAATCTATGACTTGGATGAATGAACCTAAAAGTTTATTTTTGTTAGTCCCAAACTATAGATCCAAATCAGTAATCAATGAAGTAATTACAGTCAAAATACAATGTAGAAGAAGTAGAAGAGCAATAACATCAAGCATGCACATATCTATTGCTCATAAATGTCAGGTACACCTTGAAAGTACACACACATACATCACTGTTCATTCATAAATCTGACACACTGACAACCCCCTTAAATACTACCCACACTAGCACACGTAAGTGCAGCCGTACACACATGTGCGGCCGCACACAGCGTGTGCGACCGCACACATGTGTGTAGCCGCACACACACATAGTCTAAACCAAAGCACCACTACACTACATGCACTACCAACCTACCGAGATCTATACAGAAAGAATGCCTATCCTATACCACAATAATATAGTCTTTCAATCTCCCCCTTGGTTTGAGGATATCATAGACTTGCTCTTGAATCTGTTGGCTTTTCAAACAGATTCAAATTGGAATTTACCATGGAGCCCATCCACAGTCTTCCATTTATGATGGTGGCTACCATTCCAGTTAACTCTTACGTAGCCGCCTCCATGAAATCCTTTCTACATATAATATGGTGAGGAGACAGAGTGTGAATATCCCTTTCCCTGAATCTTAGGAGAACTTTAGCACTTATCAGCCTTAAGACTTGTTCTTTATCCTTGAATTTTATGGCAGCAGTGGTAGTTTCATCATCGTATGCCTAGAATTTCATATTGTCAAGGTATCCCTCACGGAAGTGTTGAGGGATAGGAGTTTCCTTCTGCTGTTTAGTTGTAGGCTAAAGGATAATCTTCATGGGCTCGCCTGATTCAAGATCTAGAACTTCTTTATCTTTTCTATATAAGGCTCTTGCAGTCTTCATTTTTGGAAAGTTTTCTTTGACCTGTCTGTCAAGAAATCTTTTGAAGTTTGTCGTGCTGGGATCTTCAGAGGGATTATGGAATGGGGCTCTCGAAAGTTCAGCAAGATCCACTTTAGTCCACGAGTTAAAATCACGAGTGCTCTTGTAGCACTCAGAGATTCCTGAGTTCCTTTTCACAACCCACAAGTCTGACTCGGGATCAAAAGCCCACATTTGGATTCCATATCTGTCTCCAAACTCATCACCAAATTTTCTCTGTTTGCGATCAGTCACTGTTAGCACATGGTCTTTGGATTTGCGATTCTCGTTTGAGTTTTTCATAAAGAGTAATCATTCGCTTTTGCTAGCCATAACAGTCCTCTTCCCTTGTTTAATTGTAATGCAGGCTCTGCTGCCTTCAGGTTCCTTTTCAAATCAATCGACAATGGTAGTTGTTCTAGGAGGAGATGGATCAACTGGAGGTTCGCCATGAGTATATTGTGTGGTGTCCATGGGAGGATCCTCAATTCCGTGCGGCTGCTGAAATAAGGCTTTAACTTTATCCCCTAAAGCATCATACAAAACGTTCTTCAAATTGAAGTAGAAAGTTGTCACAGAGCCAAGATTTGTCTGCAGATCATTAATTTATTTTGTCTTCACTTTATCTCTTTCTTTAAGCTCTTCTATGTAAGAAGCGTGTTGTTCCAATTGAATGTTCTTTTTAATAAGCTCCTACCTGAGAATACCAATCTCTTCTCGAAGTTCTGACATTGTAGACTTGTCATCACCTGAATGCTCTTCCCTGAAAGATATGCCTTTACCCCGAGAGGAAGAGGTTGGACTGTTTTGTGCAAGGTGCTTGGCCAATCTGATTGAGGCTTCATCCAGTGAGGGTTGTGTAGGAGAATACTCTGGAACAGAGGATGAACCACCTATCTCAAACATTGTGCTTGGGCCTTCATCTGATTGTAGTGGTGGAGTGAAAACAATAGCAGTGGTAACAGTGGATAAGACTTGAGGTTCATGGCTGACAGTGGGCACTCCCAGACTTGTATTTGATTGACTTCTTTCCAAAGAAGACTGGGAGGTTTGGGGTTGTGATGAGTCAATAACAAGCGGAGTAGAAGTAGAGACAGTTGAATCAGAGGGAGGAATCTATGAATTCACATCTCTTTGACCTGAATAAACCTCCAAAGGCTTAGAAGATGAGAGAAAAATCTTGAGAACAATACTGTCTTCCCCAGTCTTGGTTGCTAAAGTAGCAACTTCATTGACCTTTCTAAAACAACTGTTGTTAAACCCCGGAAGTGGACCAAGCTCGTCATCGTCAAGATCAAGTTCAATGTTTGTAGGGATATCATCACTGATCCTGGTGAAGTCTATCTCTTTCAAAAAATCCACATCTTCATTAAGATCCTCATCACCTTCTTCATGGATAGATTGTGTTTCAACTTCCACATTGTATAGATGATCATGTTCGTCAGGCACTATAGCAATAGGAGAAACATGAACTTCTTCAATCTCCACCTCTGAAGTTGAAATCACAACATCTTCAGTCTCTATAGGATTAGATTGATTATCCGAATCTGACTGATCACTATCTTCAGCAAAAATTCCAAATCTGATTAACGGGAATTTTCCTTCAAAAACAAACTTTCCTTCTCTTTTCTGCTTCATCAATCCAAAAGCACTTGGATCGACGGATTTAAGATCTAATGTCTAGTTTCCTCTTTGAAGCTCAGAATGCATGACATTGAAGATAATCTGAAGAAATCTTGGGTACATCAAAAATTTGTCTCTCTTGATTCCTTCAATATTCAGAACCAATTCGTGCAGGATAAATTTTGAGAAATTAAACTTGATTCCTGAAGCCAAAGCTGTGATAGCTCTAGTGTTGGACAGAGACATTTTGTTCGCACCTGATCTCCTTTCGGAAATACAGCTCACAAATACAGGAGCTAAATATTTCTACCAGGGAGGAAGCAGTTTCTTGATGGTAGGAGGAAAAGTTCCTTCATACCCCCATGTGGTCTAGAACATCTTGAGTTTGATGCACATCAATTTCCGTAGAATATCTGGTCTGTCATCAATTTGAAGTGATTCTCGAATAATACTTTCTAAAATTTGAATCTTCTTTCCTTCTACAGTGGCTTCAAGATACTTTTCATCCTTGTCATCTTTCTTCACGATTGCACTTCTCAAGAAATCATAGATCAAATTCTGATAAATTGTCGGGCTGGTCGTCAAAGCATGAACCAGACAACACTTTTTAAGACCTTCAACAATGAATTTTAGATCATTGTGAGCTGCTGGAGGATTTTCAAGAAAGATAACTGCATTGTGTACTTTTGCGAATTCAAGATCTCCCATTTTAATCTGAAAAGAAACACATGCATTCATTAGGGTAAAAATAATTTTAACCATACTTATTCCAACTGTTCATGATTGGTCACACACAATGAAATGTGCAACCGTACATGAAAATGTATGCAACGGCACACATGGATGTGTGCAGCCGTACACAAGATCCATTACACAAAGAGTGTGTGCAGCCGCACACGTCACTAGCCGCACACCATTAAGTGTGCAGCCGCACACGGTCCAGGCGAACACAGCATGTGCGGCTGCACTCGCCTTGTGCGGTCGCACACACACAGTCGAAAAGGTATCCCTCGATTAACCACCATTTCATGATCGATTATGCACGAGAATCATAGTATAGGAGTCGTGTTTGTAGTTCTTACCGTTATGAAGCTTCAATTTTAGGAAAAACGATGGATTTTGAGGTTTTTAGAGAGAGAGAGAGAGAGAGAGAGAGAGAGAGAGAGGATAGAGTAGTGTTCGGTTGTCTATTTTTAATATGACAAACAATGACAGCTCAAGGAACGCACACGCGTATATGTACTCCTTCAACCATGGGCTGCCCTTTTTCTTAATATTTAAAATCCCAAGCCCAATACTCAAACATTTTTCAAAAATAGATCATTTTGAGGATTAAAAATTTAATTTTTATTATTCCTAAAAGTTTTAAAATAAAATAAAATAAAAAATAGACATACAATAAAATAAAAAAAAATAAAAGGATGATGAAACATTTAATTCTAAACTAAATTTAATCCTCTATCTTGAAATTGTTTAACCTTTTGTGATGTGCGATCAAAGTTGTTAGAGAAACAATTTTCAATTTATCATTACCTACCCTTTCATGAATAGGTCTTGTCGATCGCCAATATTGTGGTCCACTTAAACACGAAGAATTGTGACAAATTTTGGACACGCTATAAGTGACAACACTAGTTGATCCTAAGTTCCTAGATAAAACTTCCTAAGGACCATTGATCTGACGACGACCAATGATGTTGTTGTCCACCTAAATTTAGCAGCGAGATCTATAGACAATCTATAATTGTTCAATTTTAGATGTACTAGAACATGTTTCCCGCTTCCTGATATACCCAAATAATTAAGAACTTCCGAGATACTCCTTACTTTAGGTGAGCAGACTATTATTCATAGAGAGAATAAATTTACATTATGATTAGTTATAGCTTTAAAGGGATTGAGAAGTCGAAGGTTGCATATGCTGTGTACCAGGTCGGATTGTTAATAACATAAAGGAAACAACATATGGCTAACAGATAGGAAAAATTTCATAGATATAAGATGCAGAGAAATAGATTTGCATATGTTGTAGTCCAGGTCGGATCACTTCTATTCACGTAGAGGAGGCAACATATGACTAACAGTAAGAAAGAAAGAAAATAATTTTCTACAGACCTAATTTATTGGAATTCTCCAGTTGCCCTATCAATACCGGAATTAAGGACATAATACGTACATCGAGGAAAAGTTAAACCACAGTTCTAAATACGGGTTCTCTTTAATGTGTCTAGTGGATTGTCATGTATATCTCCCTTCTCAACCTATCCGAGCGTCGTATTGTCAGGATAAATGGAACTATCTAGGTCAAGATTTATCAAGTCTCTAGATTCCTTAAGTTCATCTGCACCTAGTCAAGTCCCTTAAACTCTTCGTGCCTACCAACGCATCGAACATAGAGCCTAGACAATTCAGCTTTGGTACTTTAGACATACTCAGATTGCCCGTTATCACTTGTTGATATCACTTCCCAATACATATCATTGAGCACAAATATTTTTGATTTTTGTTTTGTTTTTCTAATGTTTTTGGATTTTCTGATTTTCTAATGTTTTTAGATTATCTAATTTTCTATTGTTTTTGGATTTTTGGTTATTTCTCCCCCTAAATCTGTGCATATAAGAGAATAAAAAAATGCGCAAATTTAAACTAAACTAAACAATAAAGAATTTAATCCTCAAAGCGAATCATTTTCAAAAAATTAACCAACACATCGAATCGAGCTTTGTTAAACGGCTTGGTGAAAAGATCCGCTACATTATTATCAGAGCGGACCTGTTCTAGCCGAATGAGCGAGCGCTCATAACATTCTCTGATAAAATGAATTTTGATGTCGATGTGCTTGGTCTTTGAGTGTTGGACCGGATTTTTGGCAATTTGGATCGCAGCCTCATTGTCACAGAATATAGGCGTTTCTTGAAAATTCAAACCGTAGTCCAACAGCTAAAGTTGGATCCATATAACTTGAGAACAACAGGCAGACGCAACGACATACGGTATGATACTTCTTGCACTGCCATGAGACCAATCTATCTCCCAGAAATTGGCATCCTCCTAAAGTCGATTTTCTATCAAGCTCACACCCACCATAGTTGTCTGCAAAAGCATAAAGGTCAAATTCTGGATTTTTCGGATACCAAAGACCCAGTTTTGGGCAACCTTTGAGGTACCAAAAAATCCGTTTAACAACAAATAGATGAGAAAGTTTAGGATTAGCCTGGTAGCGAGCACATTGACAGACTGCCAACATTACGTCTGGGCGACTAGCAGTCAGATACATGAGCGATCCGATCATTGATCGATAGTACGTCTAATCTACGGATTCGCCTTCAAGATCAGGAGCAAGTAAAGGTCTCTCCGCCATGGGTGTAAGAGTAGGCTTCGCATCTCGGAACCTAAACTTCTCCAGCATATCATCCACATACTTTGCTTGGTGATTAAGGATTCTGGTTGAAGACTGTTGGACCTAAAGCCCCAAAAACACGGTCATTTCCCCAAGCGAACTCATCTCGAACTGCTTCTTCATCACGTCTTCGAACTTATTGCAAAGTTGTTGGCTTGTCGTCCCGAAAATAATGTTGTCCACATAGATTTGAACAAGAATTTGATCCGGACCGACATGTTTGATAAATATGGTTTGATCAATGGTACCTCGGGAATAGCCGTGATTGAGAAAATGCTGAGTTAGGGTAGCATACCAAGCTCTAGGAGCTTGATGTAGCTCATACAAATCTTTTTCTAACATGTAAACAAGGTTGGTAACTTTAAGTTAACAAAACCGGGACGTTGGTCAACATAAATCTCCTCCTTGACCTTGCCATACAAGAAAGCCATCTTGACGTCCATTTGGTATACGGTAAAGTTCATATAAGAAGCATATGCGAGGAAGATACGAATAGCCTCCAAGCGCACCATCGGAGCATAAACCTCCGTATAATCAAGACCCTCAATTTTCCGAAACCCACGAACCACTAATCTTGCCTTGTTATGCACAATGGCACCCGAGTCGTCTTGCTTGTTCCGAAAGACCCATCTGGTATCAAGAGATTTCTTTACTTTTGCCAGCTCCACCAACTTCCAAACCCTGAGCTTCTCGAACTAATTAAGTTCATCATGCATGGCGTCAACCCAGCTGGGCTCATTCATAGCCATTTCGATGTTCTTGGGCTCTATCTAAGAAATAAAGAAAGAGTAGAGACTCGTATTAACGTCGCCACTCTGACTTCGTGTTTGAACACCATCACCCAGCTGGCCAATGAAGTTCTCTATTGGATGGTCGCGCTGAATGCATGCAGGGATCTCGTAGCTAATATCATTGATAGAGACTGGGAGATTATGGATGTTAACCAGTCCGTCATTTGCTATATGATCCACGGTAGATGAACAAGGTTTGTTTGTTGGATCTGCTACAAACTCTTCAGCAATTCTTTCTGGAAAGAGAAGTTCCAACAGATTTGAAGTTATAGCAGAAGTATCTTGGTTCATGAACTCTCTTTCCACCGGAGTTAGAGGAGTAGCAACAGCATCAGGAGAAGGTTGAGAAGGGGAGGACTCAGAAGAATCAGCTTGAACAGAGGACATCGTTGGAGGATCAGAAGAAACCAGTGGTGGTCTATAGACAACTTCCTCCTCTTTGTCTTCAATGGTGGTCTTCGAACTAAACGTAGACTTTGCTTGATTACCAACGACACATTAAAGGATTTGAAAAGAGATGTGTAATCAAATAGCCAATCTGGACCCACTCTAGAGTCTATCTCATTCTCTTCAAGCCAACGAACATCGAAAGACTCCACAGTCTGTTTTGTCTTCTTGGTATAAACCCTGTATGCAGTTCGAGCAGCGTATCCAACAAAATAACAATCATCGGCTGTTGCAATGAATTTGGGGATGGATTCCAAGTGGATAAGGGTGTAAGGGTAGCCAAATACTCTGAAATGGTTGACAGATGGCTTGTGTCCGTATAGAATTTCGTACGATGCTTTCATTTTGGCTTTTTTGATCATCACGCGATTCTTATT